AGAGCTAACTTGGGCTGAACAAAGAAAGAAAAAGGGTGAAAGCAAAAATGAAAGTACATGCCACTTCTGAGAAACTGCAAACTCACACATATTGGCTGCTTTTGATGATGGCTCTTCTTTTCTTTTTCTTTTTCTTTTTTTTGGTACCAGGCATCAAACTTGGGTCCTTGTGCTTGCAAGGCAGGTGGCAGAAGCACTGAGCTAAATCCCTAGCCCCAAGGCTGCCTTTTCCATGCCATTCACATTTTATGGGAGCGCTCCATAGCTCCTACATTTGGGGTCCTAGCTGTTGTTGTAATTGACAGGTCCTGCTCATCTCCCCCAGCCAGCTTTGCCACGCCCTATCTCCTATGTCACTCCTTCCTCAGCCTCCCAAGTGCTGGGATTACAGGCTCTTGGGCTGGTGCTGGTCCAGCCTCTGCCTCAGGAAGCAGGGACAGAACTTAGTAACCCTCAGTGCCACAGAAATCCTCAGGAGGCTATTTACTATTGAATCTCTGGGAGTAGCTGGGTGACCATGGGTTGGATCAGAGAATCTTAGGAGCACCGTCGAAGTAGGGCCAAGAGGGCAATGATTGGACCTGCAGTGAAGAGCAGAGGAGGCAGGAAATGAGATGGTCAGAGGCAGAATCTGTGTGTGTGTGTGTTAACTTTGAACATGCGGTCGTATTCCATTTATTCATTCAGTTACTCACTAACATATTTACCGAGCACTTGCTACTTTGCAGCATCTGTGCTAAGAAGCAAAGTGTGACAAATACTTCCCAATGAACTCAGGGCCAAGGCTCTGGAGCTGCCTGTACCTGCCTTGGATTCTTGGCTCTTCCCAGCCAAAATGTAGTGTAAAACTCATGCAGTGAGGACAGGGCCGTGAATGAGCCATTTGTGCAGCTGTGGAGCCGGAGAGCCAGGCAGAGGAGTAAAACAGGAGTCAGGGTTCATCTCTAAGAAGGTGGCTACAAGGTGGAAATAGCGCTGGAAATGCAGCTTAGTGGTAGAGTGCTCCCCTTAGTGTGGGCAAGGTCTTGGGTTCAATCCCCAGCACTGCAAAATTAAATAAATACATAATGGAGATAAAGGGCCTACCCCCATACCTGGCCTAGATGCCTATTATTAAACAAGGAAGCTCTTGAAGGTATAAAAGCATAAATGGCAACCCAAAGACTGGGTAGAGACTTATAAGCTAATCCAGAATGGGAGTGGATGGAGAAGGAGGGCCTGGTCAAGAAAGATTTCCATAGGAGGTAGACAGTGATTCCAAACGTAACCTCATCTCATAAAATCCTGAAAATTGAAAATGAAGCACCAATTGAAAACGTAGACTCCAGGCCCCACCCTGGCCATTTCAGCAGGCCTAGGACCTGCAGTGAGTCTGTATGACTGGTACGCCATATATCACGGTCTGACACTTCAGTGATCTCAGAGGCAGCAGCCCCAGAGGGGAGCACAGGGTAGAACTGATGTCATGACAACACGGCTAATGCAGAGATCTGTCCCATGCAGCTGTGGGTCTGTGAGCAAGACACAGCCAGGTGGAGAGCGGCCCAGTAGGATGGGGTATAGAAGGAGGGACAAAGGGAAGCTGAGTTGGGAGCTGATAACACTCAGGGAATAAGAACCCTAAATCCAGACATTCCGCTGGAATTCTAGATCATTTTAGAGCTTATAATATAGTGCTTTATACCAGCTGACTTCTCCATCAGCTTTCATCAAAGATGAAAATAATGGCGGCCCACATCCACTGGAGAGGGAGGAGCTGGGCAGGGATAGCTCCCAAGTAGGTGCCAGGCTCTCAAGCAGCCTGGTGGCTCAATGTGGGGAGACACAGGTTCTAAGAAGCCACGGAAACAGGCCAGTCAAGGTGCTGCTTGTGGCTTCTGCTTCCTTCTCTGGGGCTCGTGCAGCAGCTCCAGACACAGGGATTTTCAAGGTAACAGTGTATGGCCTCTACTGTCCCACTTCCAGAGTTCAAAGTACAGCTCTGGCACTTGGCTCAATTCTGGGCCCTTAGGAAGAACAGTACTCAGTGTATGCCGCCCATTATTATTATCTCTTCCACCCAGGACAGACCCAAGCTGAGAGAAGACATGTCTTCCCATTGCCTCATTCCCAAAGTTGACTGTTTGAGCCCCTACCAACTCATGTCAGAGCTGCACCAACAGGGAAGAGGTCTTGGAGATAAGGTTCTGATTTCCTACCATCAAAACACACTCGTTACAGGTCCACTGTGGGCCGGAATGTAGGAGAGGTACAGCATGGAGAGGAGAGGCTCATCCATGGTGGCTGGGCCTGGGAGAGCTTTCCTGTTCCTGAGAGTGGCTGCTTTCCCTCACAGGAAGAGGCCTGTGCTCTGGGTGGGGGCCCTGATACAAGGCTGTGAGGGCCAATTCTGGCTCAGCCACTATTTGGTGACCTGAGGATGGTCTCAGCAGATCCTTGTGCCTCTGCGTGTTCAACTATACAACTGGAGCAAGGCCTTCATGGATGCCTGTGGACAGAAAGGTGATGGACACTTCCTGAGGGCCATGATTCAGGAAAAGGGGTGTTCCTGGGTGCGAAGTACATAGTCGGCTGGTGTGACAACTGCTAGATAGGAATAGAAGCAGTGTCACCAAACATTCCCGGGCCACAGCCAGTCACTCCACTGAGAACAAATGGAATTTGTCTAATTTCACTGAAAAACAAAATGTTTAAAGCCGATATTTATTAAGGGCTCACTATGTTCGAGGAATCTACTATATGTTTTATGAGAAATTAGATAGAAAAAAAAATAAGATGACAGATCTTACCACTTCAGAGGGTGAGGGAGGAAGATCACAAGCTGAAGGCCAGTCTGGCCTGCATAGTGAAACCCTGTTTTAGAAAAGGAAAAGAAAGAAACAAAGATTTTAAAAGAAATAGAAAAACATTTTATAAGGAATGATCTCACATGAATGATCTTAATTCTCACAGTTCTCTGGGTCTACAGTTATTTTTATCTTCCTTTTCTAAGTGAGTAAACTGAGGCTCTCATAAGCCAGGGGGCCTGGCTAAGCTTTTATTTTGTGCTTTGGGCCTGCTTGCCCGAGGCCCGAGGTCCTTGCAGGTTGCCTTCCAGCGAGGGGCTGCAGTGATGAGCCAAGTACTCCAGTACCCCCAGGGAAGGGAAGAAGCGAATCAAAAGGCAGGGACAAGAGGACAGGCCTTATGGGCGGGGATTTAGCTCAGTGGTTCTGCCTCCCGAGAACGAGAACCGGCCCCAGCAGCCTCCTGTCTGGCGGTGGCTTAGCCTAGACCCAGTATGTCTCGTCTCCTGTGACCCGTCAGGACTTGGCCTTGCTGGGCTTCCGGTCCATTGCACTCAGGCAGAGTTTTTAGGAGGAGCATCAGGGCTCACCCTCCTCAGAATGCTTTCTCTGCCAGCTCCCTTTGTGAAAGGGGATTAGTTCGGACGATTTAACCAGTCCTCCCTCTTCAAGGCCTGGTCGTGACCTGCAGGAGCCGGGAGGCTAGCTCTCAGCGCCATCTAGTGTTCAGGACAGCCGGCTTGGTTTCTTGAAGTGCACAGCCCAGTCGCATCTAGGGCCCATGCTTGTTTGGTCACCTGGAAATGAAGTGGTTAATGAGGATGTAAGCTATACGTGTCTTGTTCCTGTTCAACTTTGTATAGTTTCTGGTAAAGGCTGGGTGTAGGAGGATCTCAAGTTCAAACACATGCCTAGGCCACTTAGCAACACGCTAAACCCTGTCTCAAAATTTTAAAAAAGGTAAGGATGTCACTCAGTGCAAAGGCCCTGGGTTCAAGCCCCAGTTCCTTTGCCCTTCCAAATTAAAAAGACTGGGTAGAGTAGGGAAAAATGAAACAAATACTCTGCCCTCTTAGTCCAGGCTTCTAGCTTGAAACAATGTGTGCCTTCTACTTCTATGGGAAACACAAGACCTAAAACACCATGCAAAACTATCAACTGGACACTTTCCAGGCAGACCTGTCATGTAACCACGTGACACAGGCAGGAGACAGGAGGAGGATATTTCTGCACAAAGTCCAAACAGGCTGGGCCCGGTGGTACACGCCTCTATTCCTAGCACTGGGAAGGCTGAGGCAAGAGGATCATCTTGAGTTCAAGGCCAGCTTGGGCTACACAGTGAGTTCAGTCTGGAATACATAGCAAGACTGTCTCAAAAACAAACTCCGAGCTTCTGGCAAGGCATCATCTTGCTCTGCCACTGGATTCAGTGATGGAAGCCAGACTACTGGACTCTGTACCGTGTCGGGGGCTTTGCTCAGGTAGAAGTGAGGTTTGGAGTTCTCACAGGGCTGGTGTGGGCTGTGCATCTTTCGAGAAGGAATTTCTGCATTTCTAGCTTCTGAACTCCTTGCTCTAGGTCTAGAAGATGAATACAAGTCTGCTTCCCTTTTCAAAATGGGCCCACCCCAAGGAGTCAGCTAAAGGTGATGGGTCTCTTATACAAGAAGAGAGTGGAGCAGAACAGCAGGTATCTGTACCTCCAAGAGACACTGCTCTGGAGCCACCAGGGTAGTTGTTCCTTCCACACACAACACAGTGGCCAACGGGGGAACTCTCAGATGGCTTCTGGAGTGGTCTGATTGTGAATGCATGAATTTCCTGGGCACAGGCTGTCAAACTTGTGTGGACCCAGAATCTCTGAAACAAAAGATTCTCCTGAGAAAAACATGGTCCTTATGGGAAGCAACATTGTAAGTGTTGCAATAAACCCACTGCAATATTTAAAATAAATTTCCCTAACTATACTTGCCCCTCAAGCCAGTGGTAATGCATATAAGACTGTAAACCCTTTATGGAGGTGAAGGTCATTGAAAATGTTTTTACTAGTGTATATTTGTAACAGAATGGTGATGTTTGTTTGGGGGAATTGGAACATGCATATAGCTATCTGGATTATTTTCAAACCCTTTACCCTCCCAACCACTTCCTTCCCCTCCTGACTCCCTACCCTGTCTTCAAGGGCCTACCGTATAGCTTCCTATAACCTCTCCTTTATTCTTCTATTTATTAAAGAAATCTGCATGCCATCCTTGTGCAGGGGCCATGCTAATCCTCGTAGAGTTCCACTTTCAGCACATGACTGAAATTTCGATGTGGTCCTCTCCACTCCAAATCCCTACTTCTCATGGAATTCTGTGATTCCGTGTCCTTTCTTGAGCTGTGTCTCTGAATATTTCTCACAAGCGATGTTAGGAAAAAGATGAAGGATACCTCCAAAATATATAGCAGCAATAATAGCAAAATACAAGGCAAAAGGATATAACTTAAGTGTCCATCAATTAGGACCTAATTAGTGAGGTATTATACTTTAAGATGAAGAATTATATTTATTGAGATGGAAAGATATTCACTACTTAACATCAAACGAAACAGTTCAAGAAAAGTATGTAGAACATTATTTATTTTATATGAAACTATAAACATTAACAATATGTATATAAACATAGGCAGGTCTTTCCCCCCCAATTAGAGTTTTTATCTTTGAGTGTAGAAATTTGATACCATGTTTTTAGATTCTGCTTTGTTCTTTTCTATATTATATAAACATTTTACAAGGAGTATGAATCGTTTTTTCTAACAAAGCTATTAAAATGTTTTTAAAGTATTGATCTCATGAGTAAGGAAGAAAGCTGAGATTTGGGAAAGTTGAGAAGTGATTCAATAAAGCCACAATCTTTGTCAGTCCAAAACCCAGAATATGCCTCCATAATCACACACCCTTCCAGTTTCGTGCCAACTCTTTGAGTCTTGCATCTAGCTGGTTAATATACTGGGGCTAGGTGTAGAGAGGTGAGGATCAATGTTCAGGTCCGAGGAGACCCACATGCTTTGATGCTATGTGGATCCCTGTTATCTCTTCAAAGCAATTAAGCTGTGACCATAAGAGCATTACCGGATTCCTATTATACAGTATGCTCTTGTGGTCTGGCAGTTGCCCAGGTCTTGAAGGAGCAGACACAAGTCTGGGGACAGAGTTAAGTTGAGCCCTTACTTCTGATTCAAGCCCGCTTCACATCCTGCGGGGAAATGACATTTTCATCAGTTCTCTCCACTAGAGCAAAGAAGGAACATGAAGCTAGTTGGGCGTAGTCCAGAGGCCTGGTGGCCTGAGGTTCTGGGTGGGAACAGTATGGTGACTGATTTCAAGGAAGAAGCCCCCCAGTTTGTCTTTCTCCCTCTCTCCTTCTCACCCCTCCAAAGCTACCCATGTTCCTCCGCACTCCTAACTTCACCACAGACCCTCACGACCTTTCCTCCGATGCTCTTAGAGCTCATCAACAAGGCAAGGGTCAGCCATTGTCTTCCTACAACACGAGTTTGGATTTAAACAGTAAAAGCCCAAGGGTGTAACTGAGTATTCATTTCTCATCATACAACTATGGGGAACTTATAGGGTCAGGATGGGCCCCTGAGCAACGAGCTCCCTTAGCCTCTGCACCCTGAACACAGATCTGTGTATCCAGAACAAGTGCCTATCTCCTCTGCGCTCCTCTTTGGGTTACTGAAACCCCACCACTCTCCTCTCTCTGACCCAGGGTCCTCTACAGTGTTCCCCAGGAGATCACAGCTCTAGATACCTGATATTATTGCCCAGGGAGGTGAAACACATCCCATCAAAGATGTCACTTTTCCACATCTGTACTTGGCTGAAGGCAAAGAGAAAGCTGATCTTGACCTAAACTGTGGGCAAGAGAGGCAGGAATTTTGACCGAAAGGAGTGTATGAATTCACAAATACTTAAAGTTGAGCCAAAGACAGAGAGTTTACAAATAAAGTATGGTAGAGATAGACCTGACTCTGGAATCAGCCCCACTGTAGAATACAAATAATCACAGACCTTCCACTTCCTTCGAAGGGCAGAATTTAAAGCAGTCACTTGAGGGCCAGGATTGTAGCTCAGTGGTAGAGTGGTTACCAAGCATGCACACGGCATTGGCTTTGATTCTCAGCACCACTGAGCTGTCACTTGAAGCATGGACAATGCTTTGTTTTTTTTGGTTTGTTGTTGTTGTTGTTTTTTGACAATGCTTTGTCATAGACCATCCTGTGCCGTTCTCATGTCCACACGTGTGGGTCTCAGTCTTTCTTACCTGTAGGACCCTACTCCGTAGCATAGTGCATTGTGCAATAATGGTTGTTGAAAGGAACGAGTTCCTTGAAACCAGGCACCCGGGTCTCAAAATAGCACAGTACTAGGTATGACACTAAATATGCATTTGTTAATTAATTAATTGGCATCGAAGACTAATGGAACACCTCAAATAATTCCCCAGGCAAGATAGTATCCCTGGGGTCATTAAGTCCTTCAGTTTATGCAGCCTTTTCTGCAGAGCACAGAGTTCTAAAAGGGCCAGGACATGGAGGGTAAAGAGAGGAGAGACAGATTTTACCCTACTTTCTGTGATGCAGTTTACACCCTAGTGGCTCCAGCTAGGCCGCCTGTCAGTCAGCTCCAATGGGAGAAATCTTTTGGCTCAGATCTACATAAAGAAAGTTTTTTTTCCACTTGACCCCATCCCGGGACCTAGTGGGACCAGGGATTGGTGCTTGGAAGGTATGTTGTGATAGAAATTCTTCACCTGTCGCCAAGGCCCAAGATACCTTTCTGCAATTGCTGTGTTGGGCTGAAATTTCTCTTTGAATCTATGTGAAGTTGGGACAGGCACACACTGTCCCCTGGGGGGAATGGCTTAGATAGCAGCATAAAAGCTTCAGTTGCAAAGGCTTCTCAGAACCAGGCTAGTCTTAACAATGCTCCTTTGTCCCCCTCAGACGACTAAACTCCTGTATCCTGGCAAAAGGAGGCACAGAGGGGAGGTGACCAGCTTGGAGTGTGGTTTATAATCTGCAGGGCAGAAATTCTTTTAAATCTGAGTGCACCTGGCTTGACCGCTGAGCTGGAAATGAGAGCCGCCGAGTGGGGGTGGTGGGTGAGGTGAGTGGGCAGGACAGGGCTCTCCCCGTGATTCCCACACTTCCTACTCACCCCTGAACCCCCAAAGATTTACAGCCTCTGTGTTGAAACCCACACTTCGGGGTATGGAGTGGTGTGGCTTCAGTGTGTGTTCATATTCTGACTTTGGTTTCATAAGCTTTGACCTTTTCCTCTTAATTTACTGCTAGTCTTATAAAGCTGCACTAATCACACATCCGTGTGTTAATGCTTTACGGATGAATTCCCATGGTCACCGAATCGGAAGTTCTTCATGTTCAGACTCAAGGTATTCATGAGTCCTGCACAGCCTTATCCACTGCATTTTCTTTCTGATGATGAAAAAAGAGAGAGGACATGACTTTTAGATGGGCTGGGATGTAGTGCAGTTCAGTAGTACAACTCATGCTCAGCACATGTAAGGCCCTGCTTCAATTCCTAGCACCTAATTTTATACATATATATATAACTTTGAGAACTCTGTGAAAGTGTATATCCCTTTTCCACATGGAATAGATAGCAAATCCTCTGATAAGCCTACCACCAACTTAATCTCCCCTGAGTTCAATACCTCCTCTGCCTCCTCTACTACTTCATGCAATTCCTCTGTGACATTTTATAAAGATTCAAGAACATCCTTCATAACCTTTTGGATTTGCTTCCCCTATCACAATTCACCTACTCTATACCTGTGCAAAGTTCACAAAAAGTCTGCCTTATAATGTCACTTATGGACATTCCCTAATGCAAATTATGGACTTTGGATGGTAATTATGTCACGCAGCTCTGTACCAATCCCAGTAAGAGAAGTGATACTTATTGTTCTGCATCTATGTCTCCAAAGCCTCCCGCTGCTTACTTGAAACTTATATGTTCTCCCTTCACCTTCTCTCATGGCTGGAAATCTTACAAAAACAAAAAATGAGATACTGCTACACATTTAAAATGGCCCAAAGTCAAAATTCTGGCAACACCAAATGCTGGTGAGGGTGTGGAGCAACTAGAACATTCATTCACTGCTAGGGGAATGCAAAAAGGGAAAACAGTTTGGAAATTTCAAAACTATACTGTCATATGGTCCAGCAGCCACATTCCCTAGTAGTTACCGAAAGAAGTTGAAAACTTATACCCACACCAAAATCTACACCCAGTTTATCATAGCTTTATTCATCTTTTGTGGTGCTGGGGATCAAACCCAGGGCCTCATGCACGCTAGGCAAATTCTCTAACCCTGGGCTACACCCCAGCTAGCACCTTTGTTCTTCATTGTCATAACCTGGAAACAGTCATAGTGTCTTTCAGTAATGAAAAAACTGGGGCATCCTCTGTAATCCCAGCACTTGGCAGGCTGAAGCAGGGGAATGCAAATAAGGAGTAACTTAGCGAGACCATGTCTCAAAATTAAATTTAAAAAAATTAAAAGGCTGGGCATCTAGCTCAGTGCAATCCTGGGATCAGTCTTTAGTATCGCAGAAACAAACAAACAAAATTCCAGACAATGGAATGTTATTCAGTGTTAAAAATAAATGAGCTATTAAACCATAAAAACAACCTGGAGGAGACTTAAACGTATATTGTAAATAAAAGAAGCCAACCTGATAAAAAGGGTACAGGTTATCGAGTCCAACTGTATGACGTTCTGGAAAAGGCAGAGCTGCAGGGAAAGTGAAAAGATCAGTGTCCAGTGGGCAGGGAGAGATGAAGAATCCATAAGCATGCTGGATGTTTATGACTGTGAAGATATTCTGTGTGATACTATCATGGTGGATGCCATCTGTCCAAACCCGTAAAATGTACAACACCAAGAGTAATCTCCAACGAACTATGGACTTTGGATGCTAATGATGTGTCAACATAGGTTCATAGATTCTAACAAACGTATCACTCTGGTCCATGACTTGATAGTGGAGAATGTTACTCATGTATGGAATCTGGCTGTGTATGAGAAATCTGCTAAGTTTTGCTGTGAACCTAAAGTTGCCCTAAAACAGATAGTCTAGGCTGGGAGTAATGCTACAAACTTGTAGCCCCAGATAATCAGGAGGCTGAGGAAGGAGATTTGCAAATTTGAAGCCAGACTGGACAATTTGGTGAAATCCTGTCTTTAAAAAAAAGATAAGAAGACCTGGCATGGTGGTGCACGCCTGTAATCCCAGCACCCTGGAG